AACATAGAAATCCCTTTCGATACATAAGAAACTGACACCACCTCAGTGGTCTATTTGTGTGCGTGACAAGAGAGACAGTGTTATAGTCATGTGGAGCCCCTGGTAGGAGGTGTGGTAGTCGTGGTATGAATGAGCGGCCCGGTGGTATTGCGTGAAATATGAATGTAACTGCTTAGTAGGGATTGCAGGTCTTTGCGGGAGCGGTTACTCATGTGTGAGAACCTTGTCACTCGTTGATGATGCGTTAAACTTTATCGTTGGTTAACCTGGCTATCCTGGTTGCTGAGTCTGTGAGGATACCGAAAAGGTTAGGTCGGTGGAAGGCCCTATTGTTTCCTTGCCAGGTAGGGGAGTATCCTGATGAGGAGCATAAAGCCACAGTGTCGGTGATGTTTTGAGGGGTTCTGTTGGGAACCTCGATGTAGAGGAAATCATTGTGGTAGCGTATTGCTATTGGGCTGTAATTCACCTATTTGGAGGTGCTCGCATAGTGTTTCCGTGAAAGTGTCTAAAATTCGGGGGTTACTCTTGGCCCCAAATGTCCGACGACTGGCGAGACAGAACTACGTGAATGCCACGGAGACGGGTATATAGGTAGAAACTTCCCGGCTTCGAGAATGCATTAGTCCACTGTGGCAACTTGGAGTAGGAACTGATGGCCCAGTGATGTAGAGGACCCGAAATTCGTGTTACGCGACGTCTCGATTTCACTGCCAAGGCAAGCATCAGATATACAATAAGTGCCTGTGACTAGACCTAAAAATGCGGACAGAGGGTCACACGGGGAAATTGAGATGGCCCACTGAGGCCATGGTCGTATATGATAGCCCAAGTGAGGGGTCGGAATCGTGTTTCTGGTGAATTGTCCGTGGAGGATGGTATGTAACGTAGGTATTGGTGGCCTGTATAGAGGTATTTCTGAAGGACCTGAGGTATTTAGTTGAACAACGTCTCCGGTTTACTATAGGGGTACATATATCGGAGATTCGTTAAGAGCCTGTGACAGGACTCCTAGGTGTGAAGAGAGAGAGGCTTATGGGGAACTGAGAGAGACAAGAGAAGCGACAGTAGTATGTAATTGCCCAAGTGAGGGGTTGGAACTGAGTCATTGTGGATTGCCCACGGAGGGCCGTATATAGCTTAGTTAGTGCCGGCCAAGTGAGGGTCGCGTATAAAGGCTTTCTGGACATTTAAACAATGATTCTACATGAATGTCAGAGATTCCTTAAGCCTGCAACTGGACATAGAAATGCAGTTATAGAGGGTCGTGCGAGAAATTTAGTGGGTCCAAGGAGGCCCCGGATGTATGAATAGCCCGGATGAGAGGTCGGAATAGTGTCAGAGAATTGCCCACCACGGGCCGTATGCTATGTAGGTAGTGATGGCCTATTGAGGTCTGCGTATAGGGGCATTTCTGAAGTAGCTGAAGTATGTGTTCGTATGTGTTCGATCCATGTCTTACGTTTAATGTCGGGAAAGCAAATCGGATATACAAGTATTGTCTGCGACTGTACACATAATCGTAGTGTGGAGATGGTCGTACGAAGACTTGCATGGGCCCAATGATGCCGCTGTCGTATGTAAATGCCCAAGTGAGGGGCCGTAATTGTGTCATAATGATTGTCCTCAAAGGGCCGTATGTAATGTAGGTAGTGATGGCCTAACGAAGCTGCGCATAGTGGTATTACTGAATACTAAGTGCCAGAATGTAGAGATTATGCCATGTGTAATTGGCAATTGGAGGATTTGTAATTTGGGTGTATTGGATAGCCTGCAGAGGTTGTTTGGAACATATGGAGGGAGGCTGTGAGTAATGGTTGTATTATGGGGTGGTAGTTAATTCTTATAGGCTGGAACTGACATGGGAACTGACCAGCCGTGTAACGTACCGTAATAGATGTATCTATTGTTCGTGGCTACAGTTGGTTAAGAAACCGAGATTGTGGGAGCCGTAAAGATTGGCCTGGGAACGGCGGGTGGGCAGTATAAGATCCCTGGTATATGTGCTGGTCTCTCAGGGGTAGTGGGGGGTAGACAAAATAGAATTGTATGATGCAATGGCGGACCGTCTATAAGCTGTGGCCAGGCTACTTCATTAATTGAATGACTTGCGATTGGAATGTGAAATAGGTGACCTGGTCGCCCATAACATATATCAATGTGACAGCTGAAGTGGCATAATAGGGGGGAATGGATAAATGTATGTAAACAGAGGATATGGTCCCTCTGTAATGCCCTGGGTGCCGTCCGCTGGGTAGAAGTGGCCGTGTGACTGGATGTTGTATCCTGAACATGGTATGCTAAAGCCGTGTATAATCCGGGGAAGCCGTACGGCTTCCATATGCCATGCCAAATTGGAGGGGAAAAGAGTAGGATGTAGCGGTAAGCACCTTGATGGCCATGTGCAGAGTAAGTCGTGATGACCTCGGGAGGGCTGTGACTTAAGTAAACAGTACAAGGCCAAGCCCATAGTAATACTTGGATCACAAGGTGGCCGCATACAGGTAGTTCGTGACTTATTGGATGTATTTTAGATAGAGTGCGGATTCAGTGTTTACTCTACAGATGTGTGGATCTAGCTGCATACGCACACCCAAGTAAGCAGAATAGTAATTGAACTTAATGCACTAAGGAGGGGCTGAGGTATGTCTTAGTAGGATACTGTCTGGGTGTCATGTGGATAGTTTAGGTGTGAATACGGAACGATCAATTATTAGGTGAGTTATTACGGTATGCGAGAGATTGCAGAGTAACCATTTGAGTGACTCCATCAGCACCTAGTGTACTAACCGGCGGGCACAAAAGAATGCACGTGTTAATTTAGGACTGTATATTGTGCAAAAACTGTATATTGTGTAACAAAGCCAAGGCTCCAAAACCCAGACATGCAGATGGTGGCCGAACGTGAGTGTGAACCTAGCGGCCTTATTGTGTATATTTGGAAAGCGTTATAACCTAGTAAAGTCGCAATAGTCAAGCAATGCACATTTGTAGGAGGATATTTAGTGTGTTGTTTAGGAAAAGAACCCTCTAATTGGGAAGTGGATTAACATATACCTATATGAAACCACAGAATATGCTAATGCGGTAACAAAGCTAATTAAGGAACTTGCTGTGTGGGTACAACGTCACTGTAATTTGACTGAACACGACTAAGTAAATAGCAACCTTTATTGTAAACTAAGGGACACAATCATGCAATGTACAATGAATGACGGGGCTGTCATGCCTGGCTGGCTGTCAGTGGGCAGTATGCAAAGAACACTGAATGTGAATATGTAACGTGTGGCTGAATTGGCTAAGGTGGTCAAATCGTGGACCGAATGTAAAGAAGTTATTGACCAAGTGGAATGTATTCGGTGGTTTAAATAAGTTAGGTCAGTACCTAGAGAATGAACCAGTAACAAGAGAGGATGTACATAGTAATTTAGGACTGTATACAATACTTGCCCACGCGCAACCCGAGGTTAATAAAGCCGAGTTTTAAATCATGGAATGCAAATGGAAACAGAACGGCCATCTTAAGCATGTTTGGGAAGCATTAGTACAGTAATGTCGTATGACAACAAGCAACGACAATGTGTTGGAGGAGAGATAGCACTTTGTCTAAGAAAGGACCGTGCCTAATTGTGGTGTAGATAGACCTAAACAGTTATGAAACCACCGAATATGCTACATTCTGCTTCATTTTACTAATTTATTTTACATTTACAATTGACAAGATTGTCATGCCTGGCTGTCTGTGAGGGGAACTAGGGGGTGTGAATATGTAACGTGTGGCTAACTGGCAGAAAGGCGGTTGAATCGTGGACCGACTATAAGGTAAGTGACCGTTCGACTGTCAAATGCATAATGTGTGTAATGCCCAGCATGGTCAAACTCACAATTTGCAGGGCGAACGAACGGACCCAGGAAGCAAGAAGCTGAGAACCGGGAGCTGCGGGAAGGTTGGAGATCAGCTTGACCAGAGTACTGGCGGTGACTAGGAAGGTTACGAGTAAGTTGGCCATCTATCCATAGGGAGTTAAGAGGCTGGGGGCTCAGTGGGAGTTGAGCCAGATGCCGTGACTCAAAAGGTAGCGCGGGAGAGCCACGCTGATCTAAGGGTACTCACGTTACCGTTGGAACTCACGGCCCGAATGTAATGCCATAAAGCGGCGGCGGAATGCAGCAGTTTGATTGCGGTTGGCTGTTGGGATCGCCTGCGGGGAACAGTGCCCTCCGTGAGGCTGGAAGTTGCCCATGGCTGCGGGTGAAGGGTGGTAGTCTCCCAGGATTAGGTCAGTGTGGTACTTTGTTCCTGGTGGGAGCAACACTGAGGCAGACTGGAACCGGAAGTGGACCGGAACCGTTAGTGGTCGCAAAGTAGTCTGGATCGGTGTCGGCCCTGAGTGGAGGTAAGTCTGGGTATAAATAGGCCGGTAAACCCCTCCCACAATTACAGGCTCCGCCTTAACATATATATATATATATATATATATATATATATATATATATATATAACCAGGGTTTAGGAGATAGTCAGCACTCAAGGTCTTAGAAAAGTTCCCAACAGTAAACGTTTCAGTTCACGCAGGAACTTTCATCAGGACAAAACTGAAACGTTAACCATTGGGAATCTTCAATAAAGAACTTCCATTTTTGAGTGCTGACTATCTCCTAAACCCTGGTTGTATATATACATATAAATTCCACAAATATACTTATATAATATTTTTACATAATTAAGTCATTTTATTAATTACAATCTGAGGGACTTGCCCAACAACCCAGGCAGAAAGTCCAGAGAATTTGTCTCTCAAGTCCTATAGTTAACCCTGTAACTTTCCAAGAAACCATAAAACCTGTACATGGGGGGGGGGGTACTGTTTTAGTCGGAAGACTTCACTGAACACAAATATTAGTGCTTAAAAATAGTAAAACATATCACGATGATATCGTCAGTAAAAATGCAGGGATTTTTTGCATTTTTTCACACACCAACTGTACTTTCACTGACAATATAATTGTTGTAATATGTTTTTGTATTTTGAAATACTAATATTTGTGTTCAGCGAAGTCTCCCGAGTATAACAGTACCCACCATGTACAGGATTATTGGAGTTTTCAAAAGTTACAAAGTCAAATATAAGGCTTTAATTTCCTTTTTTTCACATTGAAATTTGCCAGATTGGTTATGTTGCCTTTGAGATCGTAAGGTAGCCCAGAATTGAGAATTAGCCCCATGATGGCATGCAATTTGCAAGAGTAAGCAACATAAGGTATTGCAAATGGGGCATGTCTAGTATTTTTAGTAGCCTCTTAGTCACAAACACTGGCCAAAATTAGCATTTCATTTTGATTTTTGCATTTTCCACACACAACAAAAATGAATGCTAACTTTGGCCAGTGTTTGTGACTAAGTGGCTACTAAAAAAAGACTGGATATACCCCGTTTGTAATACCTTGTATTGGGTTGTCTACTTTTGCAAATGGTATGCCATCATAGGGGTAATTTTCATTCCTGGCCTACCATTTGGTCTCAAAGCAACATAACCAGTCTGGCAAATTTCAATTTGCATAAACTGAAAAATGTAATGTGCTATATTTGACCCTGTAACTTTCCAATACACCATAAAACCTGTATATTGGGGTTACTGTTTTACTCGTGAAACATAGCTGAATACAAATATGTGTACTTTATTGCAGTAACAGCTAACAGTATTTATCGAATTCTGCATGTTATGTTTAATAATTTACTATGCAGTTTGTCAATAGCAGGTTTGCTACATAGTTCAATATATTGACTGGTTCACATTATTATTTGTAACTCAATACGAGTTCAATAGACCATTGCTTAATATATGCAAAATTCTCCTTAACATAAATTGCAGTATTTTTACTTGCACACTCATTAGCAAGAATCAGTATATACTTTAAAGGAGATTTGTAGAACTGCGCTACATGTATGACAGAAAGTCATTGCTATTTTTAAAGACACATAGATACGTATTATGCTTAACTCTTGGTTTACTGATTCTCAGCTGTAATGAAAATAGGCATGTGAAGGAACAGATACAAGAAAAAAAACTGGGTCTGTTACATTAGTATTTCACTAACCAGTTCTTTGCCTCTACGATTTATAAATAGACATATAAATATACAATTCCCCCCTCTTTGAAAACACTCCGCACCAAAACTGCAACCAAAAATAAAAAATATAAAACAGGTAAAATAGAAAGCTCGAATGGAGACTAAAATGAGTAAAAGTCAGTGAAGCAAAACAAATAATCACAGACCAAAATCTTTAGCATTATTAAATGCCCAATTCCAATACTATATGATAAGTAAGTAAAATAAAGAATTAAAGCAAATGTGAATATAAAAGAAAGTATGTCATATTTTAAGAGAAATATAAAACACATAACACGAATATGTAAATTCAAGTGTATGTATTTAGAAATGTGGACCTACGGGATCTGCCAATAATCATGACTAAGATCCAGAGTGTTTAGCAAGTGAGCTCCAACCAACCTGTCCAGCAAGTCATCAACATTTTGCATTGGATACGCAGTAGGAGTGACTTCATTGAGACTGCAGTAGTTGCAGACGGCAGTGTCCTGAGCAAGATACTGAGCAAGTAAATATGTATTATATTATTCATGGCAACCCAATTCAGCTGGAATTCGGCATATAGCTTTAATTTCTACCCTTCGGATGGATTCAGGCGAATTCCCCGTGTAAAATCTAGGTGGCCGCCATTTCGGCACTTTACACGTGGCCGCGGCCATTTTACGTGCGAACAGCGGTGTTTGCCCGTCAACGCGTGGAACTAAAATCGGATACGCAAACAGGCGAACACCGCTGAGACCTCCATACATCCAGAACTTCGCACGGGAAAGACCGAATCACCGGCCGTTCGGTAGTTACATGCAACTTCGTATGGGGATTTCAACGACCACGAAGATGCGAACGGATGGCAGGGCTTTCGTCTCTTTTATTCGCCTAAACGGAGACCGACCGCAGGGCCAAAACTTATGGAACTATTTTCGGCTAGATGATCCGTGCGGTCGGTCAAAACTTTAGTGCTCCATAACTCCCGAACCATTCATCCGAATGGACTGATTTTTTGACATGTTGTCCCCACAAATGAGAACTATCCAGCGGTGCCCAATTTAAAGGTGTACCCCCTGGTTTTGGGGTACATCCAGAACTGGGGTAAAATAGTGCACGTTTTAATGAAGTTAACTGTTTATCAGAGGGGAGGGAGGTAGGGGCTGTAACCTATACCTGATTGGTGATTTAATGCCTCCCCCTGGGTGTGTATTTCTTGTCTGTAACCCTAATAAAAAGCAGGCTGGAGATTCCAGACCTGAGATCTACTTGTATCCTGATTCTGGACTCTGACTGTTATTTGGGAATTCGTATGCTTTACCAAGGGGATTATCTTGGGAAGCTGTTATATTTCTTATGGACTTCATTGCTTAGAACTACCTTAGACGCTGGCATTGCAGGAGGAATTATCAAAGTGGTTCAGCTATACTTGATTTCCTTTACAACTGGTGGCAAGCGGAGGGATTCGAACCCCAAATGGACATTTCAAAACAAGCAAAGGAATGAATGGCTCAGCAGTACCAGCTACTTAAAAGAACCACGCTAAAGGACTTACTGGAAGCTCGAGGCAGAGTGGCAAGTAACAAAACAAAAGCCACGTTAATTGCGGAGTTAATGCAGAGCGATAATACCAGTAATATAGAGATGGATCAAGAGGAAGAAACCGTGATGCAAAAGGACATCCGATGGACACTCAGTTTATTGGGACCCAATCCATCCTCAGAGGCGATACTGCAGGTCGTAGCACAAGCCAGACAAGCGCAAAAAGAGCGAGATGACCGGGACAGAGCGTCACAGGGGGATTTGCTACACCCCCCGAGAAGTATTGGGGAAATACCAAAGAAGGTAAATTATGCAGCGTTTAAATCATTTGTTGACAATGAAATGGAAATTGACAGTTACTTGCAAGACTTTGAACGCCAGTGTGCACTGGAGGGATTAGACTCCACCAAATGGGCTGCAGTCGTCAGCAGTAAATTGTCAGGTAGAGCAGCCGAGGCGCTGCGAGCAGTACCTGAGGGGGACATACATAATTATGAGAAAATAAAAGACATTTTGTTGGCCAGATATGCGGTAACTCCGGAGGCATACCGGAAAAAGTTTAGAGACCTGAGAAAGACTGGGAGAGATTCCCATACGGAATGGGCTTTTCGCCTGCAGCGGGCAGCCCGCAATTGGATGAAGGGCTGCCAGGCAACCACCCTAGAAGAAGCTTTGCAACTAGTGATACTGGAGCAATTTTTTAATCATACTGCAGAGGACATAAAAGACTGGGTAAAAGATAGGAAACCAAAAACCGTGGAGGAGGCCGCTAGGCTAGCGGACGAGTACCAGGATAACAGGAGGAAGGAGCCAGGGGCGAGCAGACCACCATTTAAGCCTCAGTACACAGCTCCAACAAACCCGGCTCCACCTAGACCTGCCATAGGTAACCCCCCACCGAACCCAGCAAACACACCTCGACCTCCTGCAGTGTGTCACTACTGCAAGCAACCAGGACATTACAAGTATCAGTGCCCTCGCTTAAACCGGGGAAGCTGGGAACGGCCAGCCCCACAACAACCCAGGGCAGCTGCTCACTGTGTGCAACAGGAACACACAGGCCCTGCCCTTAACCACGAAGAACAGTGGAGTGTATTACATGAGGTCAATCCAGTACAAGCTGGGGGGGACAACCGGGACCACCACCGCCAATGGATTACCGTCGATGGCGTGGGGGCCCGGGCGCTGAGAGACTCTGGGGCTACTTTGACTGTGGTACAGCCCCACACGGTCAGAGCACAAGCTCGCACCGGACGCACAGTCGCTGTAAGGGTGGCTGGGGGCGCTATTCACAAACTGCCCACCGCTAATATGCTTGTTGATTGGGGTTCCGGGTCTAAACAACTGGAGGTGGGGATTATGCAAGAACTGCCCGCCGAGGTTTTGTTGGGAAATGATGTGGGATGCCTAACCTCTCAACTAGCCCGAGACCCCCCTGCCGAGGCCTACCCGGTTACCACCCGAGCTCAAGCCAGACTGGAAGCTCCGCTGCACTCTGAGGAAAACCAGGTAAGATTCGAAATACCTCCCTTACCCGATCCCCCCGTACCCTTCTGGGATACCCCCCAGGGGTTTGAACAGGAACAGCGTACTGACCCCACATTAGAAG